CAGCCACCGTGCCTGCGATGTGTCCGTACCGTATCTCTTCTTGCCTGCAGCCATCATCCTTCGGGATGAGCATTTGAGAGGTGCTGACATCACACGGGTAGCTCCAGCGCAGCCCAGGAGCATCAGCTCCTGATTGTCCCACCAACTGTGCTACTAGGATTTCCTGCATTGCCCTTCCGCGGGAGAAGTTACAGCCTCATTGAGAGCTTGGTTGCATGTATCTCTTCTCTATTAGTGGTAGCTCAAGAGGGAGATAAACATCCTCTGGATGTACAAAAATAATCCCCATCCTGTAGAGTCCAAAGGACTTTTGCCAGGGCTCCTGGGCCTTTTCATCTACTGCAGAGCCTGTCAAGGAGCAGCACAGGAGGGAAAAGAAACCAGAAAATATGGGAGGCACATGTGCACATCTGATTAACCCAACTTTTTATGATAAACAAAGCAGCTCAAGGGCCCTGTTCTCTCTGCTCCCGTAATAAATCTCCCGGTTTTACTGTTTTATGATGTCAAACATCTAAGGGTTTTCCCTGAGTTGCAAATAGAACATAAATTACCTTGGGTAAACTCTGCAGACGCTAATGTTATCTATAAAAATCCTGGTGCTAATAACTTCACAGAAAGTACAAGGGCTTCCCGGTTTGTATGAGCAAAGCTAATTAAGTGTGTGTAGCCCATAACTAAGAGGTATCTAGATTAGGAGCATAAAGTACCATACCGTGAACTCCCTCACTGTAGTTAATTCGGTTACCAAAACAGACGGCAACCATGACCTGAAGTTTTGGATACAGGCTTGCAGCATCTCAACAGAATATGAAAGGCATCCATCCTGCTTTTATCCCAGTAAAGTCAAAGACATCCCACCCGGCTGTAAAAAAACCCCAAACACATACTATGAAGGATCCACCGTGATTCCAGAAGAGTTGCATCATGGGTTCTTATCCTAGGGGAAAGCCTAGGCCACTGTTAAGCCCTTTCCCACCCCATCTTTGCCATGAAAAGTCTGTTCTCTGCAAGCAAATCACACTGCAGTCAAGTCATGACTTTGGCCTTCATGAAGAGGCTAAAACTGTTCGGTTGTGGAGCGGAGTTATTTCAATATTCCTATTTTTATTAAATGTGAACTGTGCACGCTAACCATTATTTTTAGAAAAGGCACTCACGGCGGTGCGGATGGCTTTGGGTTACGTGGCCTTCATTTTCCCTTTCTCTTTCACATCTGGGGATACCCATTTTGCCCTCAGCAGAGCTCCTCCCGCCAGAGAAGTGTGAAAAAGAGCATCTGACCCCATTTCCCAGAGCTTTCCAGTGCACTCCTGCAGCGCCATTTGTGTTCCCTCCAGGTTCCCAAACACATACTGCACTCGACTCCCACCCTCGCCACGGCGTGCACATCCAGGAGTGAAGGTGACGCTGTGTCTGTTCCATGCTGTTCAAGCAAGTGGAACGAAATGTAAAACACCAGCACCAAAAGCCCTCCTTCCTTTGAGGTTCTGTTTTAACTTGTCAAGTTTTACTTAAAATATGACAAACATGACATTCTACAAAGCCAGCTGGATTTGGGTGGTTATTACAAGAGCATGCTTATGCAGGAGGTGCTTTACTTCATCTGCTGCGAGTCCATTACTGGGAACATGGCAAAAATGCGATGTAGATGCCTACACACGCACTTCAGAAAAGCTAAATGGCCTAATTTTTTCTTTTTTAAAGAGGGCAAGGGGCTTGAGTATCTCAACAGAATAGGGAATGTTTCACTCGGCCTCTTGTTCTAATGAAATATGATTCTAATGAAAGTAGATGCATAACATGGTTATTTCCATGTGACAGCTATTATTCATAAATTAATATAAAATTAATTAGAGATCAGACACCAGTTACTGGTGATCTAAGTGTTTAAAACATCCGTGTCCCCATACTGACCATTTCATCTTCAAAACCCATGGCTGATTCAACACAGAGTGGACAAGGTCTTCACCCACAGTTTACAAACTCCCAAAGAGCCCTGAGAGTCACTGGGAAACCACATCATGACAGCCCATTCTGTGCCCAATAAAATTAAAACCAAGAAGTTTGTCTACTAGTTTCTGGCCAGGGCTTACACCGGCGGCTTTCTCTAGAAGTGCAAAGCCACAGGACCACTTGCAGCTTTTCCTCTGTTAAAAAAAGATGGCAGAAAATTCTGAGGGCTTACGTCCAGATTCCCTGCAAACAGCAAAAACCTCAGATCTGGGGCCAGCAAATATATTTAGATGGAGAGGACTTCAAGAGATGAGGCGGGGAGGTGTCTCACAGGCAGGGGGAGTGCAGCAGCAGCAAATCTCACAGCTGGGAAAACAACAATGGACAAACTATTTTAAAACATGCCACCAGTCAGACGTCAGCCAGTCAGGATACTGCCTGGCCCAGCTCACCCCTGCAGCATGTAAATAAAGAGCATCCTTAAAATTTACTTTAATTATACTGAAATGTACAGACCATGACAGACCATTACAGCAGAATAATTGCCTGTGCCGTGACAGCATCCATCTATTTTGAAGAAGTGAGACCAAAACTCAAGCCTTTTCCTGATTTAGATACATTCTATTGCTCTGCAACATTTTGTCTCCACCACAAAGACTGTTGAATCATGAATTATGCCAATTTGCATGAATGGGGCCTATTACAAAAACCAAACCAAGTTCTCTGATGATAACTGCATGAGAATGACTGATTTTACTTTTATGGCTTTGGCTCTAGGCTACAGGCAAGCTTCAGAAACTTGCTTAACCCAGTTTCTACTTTTTAGCTCACCAGTAGTCACAGCGAAAGCAGAGAAAGCACCGTAAATACAATTTTACAACTCATTTTACTTTGCCTCTTGTGAAATGCGTATTTATTAATCCGTCAAATTTTCCTGCTGGGATTTTACGCCAATTGTAGCTCCAAATTCTCTCATGAATTCATTTCCCTTTGAACAAGTAACATTCAAAAGCAGCTTCAGCCAACAATTCCTTTTTTTTTTTGTTTTTAAAAGTATCCAATGGCACCCCCCCTCCAACTTTAAATATAAGAATTAATAGGAAGGATGTTTTTAAAACAGCGCAGCACCAATTTCAATACGAGCATGAAATCTTTAATAGAGTGAATGGTGCTCTTGAACCAACGGTAACAGCAAGCTGATATCTCTAATGGCAACTCTGTATTTTTCCACCTCTGGGAGGGAAAGGAAATGGGAAATTTTGGTGGTAGGAGGGGAAAAATTTGGGACACCAACTTGCCATCAAGAGCATACCTGAACCTCACTCAAAACAATCTTTATTGTAGGCATTTCCTCATGGTACACTAATGCTTGGCGCTCTCTATTCAGTGGTCTAAAGCCTCATCTTTATGCTGCAGGCACTGTTCAGATGTAGCCTGGCACTCACCCCAGCTTAGCCAAGTGATCTGTCCCACTTAAGTAACCTGGAAGGAACAACTACACATAGACATGAGACTAAGTCCTCATACCAAAGACTACATTTTGGAAAGGATATTAAACATTAACTACAAATACCAGGTAATTGTATGACTACAAAAAGATATGGAGTCATTTTGGGTCTTGTTAATTTGCAGGCTTAGACTTTGAAAAGCAGCTTCCAGCGATGAATGTTTCCATATGCCAGTTAATAAGCTTTGAGTATTTCACCCATTAATCTGAGGGAACATCCCCTTATTCATCCCCAACTTTGACAGAAAGTAATGGTGTGCCCAACAAAACATATTTTGGGTAAAGTTAGAGTAAGCGCACAGCTGAGGCACAGGTAACAGCAGCAGCAGCTTCAGAAGCCCCTGCCCGTCCCACAGCCATGGATTGAAGTGACCTACCAGTCTATCTGCTTGCACAGACAATTTGCAGCCAAAGTCACAGCTAAACTGCTTATAAACAATATAAAACTTGAGAGCTCTCAACTGCTCAAACCAATATGATCTGTGTCCAAGCAGTGAAGGCCTAATTAACAAGAAAGGAAACAAGTCAGCTAGAGTTGTGCAGTTTTATTTGAACAAAAACCAGTGTCGGTATTTTTAATAAAGGCTACGTTACACTAAATGCATGTACATTTGTAAGAAGATATCTAGTTGTAAAGAAGGTGCAGGGTAATATGTACAATCATAGTTAAGTTAAAAAAATTCACATTTTACATAGATTTACTTGACAGTCCTATGCTTTCATGGTATATAAATGGTAACGAAAAGAGGTAACAAAAAAAAAGAAAATAACACACGGAATTTCAGCTGGAGGACTGTATAATGCACTCATTTTTCAAATGAACTTTTTCACAGAATTTTTATTTGCCCTAAATCAAATTTTGGATATGATTTTTAGAATTATTAGAATTAACATATTCAATGAGTATACCGATGTAAACATTTTTTCCAATGATGCCGTTTCCTTCCATAAAAATCTGTATTTTATGCTGTAGTCTGCTCTTCAGCTTTTACAAATTAGAATAACTACACAAGATGTTTTTCAATACATGGTAAAAATTATCAAACAGCAAGGGAGATATGTTCAAAAGACACTTTGAAGCTTTTCAGTCCACTTTCACAACACTGTAAATCTTACTCACAAACCAGAAGCAGGCAAAAAATCCAATAGTCCCTAAAATGAGAAAGTGAAAAAGGTTAGGTTGTGTTCCAGTTTGCTTTGAGAGAAAAATCTAACAAGTACTTCCCAGCAGGACAGAATATAACATTGTAATCCAGCTAACTATACAGAATAACAGTACTTGTTAAATTTAACAACACACATTCATCCCTAGGCTAAGTTATTGATTTACATTAAAGATGACTTTTGGACCAGGCTGCTTGATGTACATTTAAACCACTGAAGGTGATGCTATATCACCACTAGCAGGCAAACAGCACCATTTAAGAAACTGACTTCTGTACGCACACAAAGTCCACACCTACCTGGGTTTTTAGGTCTACAGCCACCTATGAATTATGACACAAACAAGGCCTTGGGAAAAATCACCTGACCTGGTTTTCTGTTCATCATGCTCTATTTATACTCAAGAACAGGGAACTTCTTACTCTGTATATCCTGTTACTTCCCTTTGCTAAAGCAATGCACTGAGCGCTATAGCAGTTGGGAGCAAGCATCACATGAAACTAGCAGTGACACACGCCAAAACACGTAATTTTGTGTAATGTGTATTCAAGCTGCAGACTTCCCTGTCACAGGTCACTACAGATAATGAAAACATGCACTAGTTTGGGCAACTGAACAAACTGATGAACGACGAAACCCAAAGGCTACTGATTACAGAGACACCATTTCAAGTGCTAAAAAAGCCCTTGAGCCACAGCTGATGGGAGGCTGGGAGAAAGTACCAGTACATGGTTCCCTGCTCTCATACCACTTCCTGGTGGCACTGCTGTTAGGGTGCTTGAGTAGCAAACCTGTGGTTTGGTTTGGTATAGCCTTCCTTGATTTCTTACCAATCCAGTTCTTCAATCATCCAACCCAACAGTAGGAGAAAAAAAACCCCACAACTGCCTTCTGGGGGGACTTTGGGCCACATGTCAAGGCCTGCGGCTCTAGTGAGCACAGTGCAGAGTAAGATGATGGGTAGAGGAGAAGACATGGCAAGAGATTAGTCTATACCAATTTTCTATTTTTAAGCTGAAGAACAAGTCTGTAGTTTGCACCCCAACAGTCACTATTACGGGGCAACTGCAAAGACACTATCACATTTATTTTTAAAATTACTTTAAGAACTTAGTATGCAAGGAGACACTGAGTACCACACAACTAAGTCTTAAGCCTCTAAGGGAAGTGATGCATTGTTCCTCATGCTTTTACCTAGGGGTAAACTGCCACACAGATGTTAAGCCTTACCAGCTAACAAAAAGGGAAGGTCTTGGTTTCAGCTGAATTCATTTCTCAAAGACACAGCTACATGCCAGCACTATGACAGCCCTTACCAGATGCACTATAGGCACTTGCAAGATCATGCACTCAGCTCCTCCAGTTTTACATTCATCCTTTTCTGTTTGTACAGCCCATGTTTAACATCAGCTCTAACTTTTTTCACTATTTTGTTGTGACTGGTTTACTAACTAGGAGGTTCTTTATTAAGTGCTTGTCTTTTCCACATTCCTTACGTTTCTCTCTTTCAGACCACACATTTGATAAGTGAGGAACCTGTCTTTGGATGCTTATTATCTATATGCCAATTCTTGTATTCTTTGTGCTACCATGTATATTTGCAGTTAAAGGCTTTTTGACAGCCTACTATTATATGCCACAGATTACCCTTTCCCTCCAAGTTTGCAGTTATCATCCTCTGGAACAGTAGGAGACGGCAGATTTACTGCTGTTGACAGGAGATCAGACACCAACCACAGAAGGAATTTAATTCCTTTGTAGGCTTGACATCGTTACGTCTTTACAGTTTATGGTCAATTCTCACTCCTTCCTACTGTGTCCAATACTCCAATATCAGCATTGTTACTCTAAACCTTACTCTCATGGGTTTTTTCCTAATAACGGTCCTCAGCATCTGCTTTCTAGTTGGTTTTATAATATAGCCCTCTTTGAGCCTTTTATGGCTTTGAAAGCAATGTTTCTTCCAAATGTTTAACAGATGAGATCTTATGAATCTATCTGCTGTTCTAGAACAAAATTGTAATATCATAACAAAAATGTACAACTAACACAAGAATGAGATTTTCCACACGGTTTTTTGAGCATGCCGTAACTTAATATGTGAACACACCCTAAATCCACAGTATTTTCCTCCAATCTCTGTCACACTGATATACTAGATTTCTATAAAACATGGCCTCATTCATAGCAGAATCTGAAGACTTCATACTGTGAACAAGCATTTAATCTATAAAAGATTTTCACAGGTTTTACTAACACTGATTTTTTAACTTCCTTCCTAAAAAGTCTGTTTAATAAATCAAAGACTTCA